TCTCTTAGCAACGTCCTGTCCTTTTCCCCTTTTCATTCTTGTGCCTCTAATGACACTTCCTTTTCTCTGGTTTCTCTTCAGCCTCTGGCTTTCACGGCCCCTTAAGCCTCGTTTACACAGGGAGAAGCAGGAGCTAAAGGCCCTGTGCACATATTTATGTTAATAGTACTGAGGGGAGGAACAGCCTGTTCTGGGGGCTGCTTTCCAACTGTCACATAAATCAGTCAGAAAAAAAAAAAAAAAAAAAAGTTACTATTTTCACAAAGACACTGCCAGAGTGGAGCAGCAGGTCTTGGCAATACTTCATCTCCCACTGACCCCGCCTTCTCGAGTGTGCCTTCCGTAATGTCTCCCTCGGTTGTCAGAAAGCAGGGGATGAAGAATTTCATAGACAGGGGGGATTTCCAAGTCAGAAGGGACCTTTGAGATCATCTAGTGCTAAATCACATGGAAACTTCTGCCTGGGTCCTTTCCCCCACAGATTCTGGGGCCATTGTTTGGATGTGAGGTACAGGCAAGATTTTTAAAGCTTTCCAGGTGACTCTAATGCACAATGAGGGCTTGGAGTACTAATGTAGTCATAGTCCCATGAAGAGAGAGGCCCATACTTCCCTCAGATCATGTGGGGAGTTAGTGATACAGAGCAGCCCCAACATCACACTTTCTTCCGTGATGCCATGTCATCGCGAAGTTCCGGGGTCGAGCTGCGGAAATACGAGACGGTGGTATTATTAGAGTTGTGCATCCAAATCACTTGGGAACTCTTTTAAACTTGCTTTCACCTCTCCTTGCTCCTCCCAGAGCAACTGAATCTCTTGGTGGAACCCCAGCACACAAATTTTGAAAAAGCCCTGGGTGGCAATTTTGACACGTATCCCAGTCCAAGAACTAGTCAGGTCCATCAAATATTAACTTGTGGTTCCTTGGACAAGTTACATGACCTCTTTGACCCTCAGTGTCTTCATCTGCAAAATGGGGCTACATACCTAACTCTCATTCTTCAGTTTTATAGTTCAAAAGTCATTTCTCCTAGAAAGCCATGAATAAGCTTTCAGAGGAAGCCATTCACCCACCTTCCCAGGAAATTCGTTGTTGGAGAACACCCTAAACTTCTGCTTTGTAACACTGACCATAGTTTATTGATCAAATAGTATGAACCTTGACACATTGTTTTTGAATGAAGGAATAAGTACTTGATAATGATTAAATATATGTGTAATGGATTACTCGCTCTCTGTCTCCACCACCACGGATGAGCTAAGCGGTTGAGCTCTTATTCACGGTTGTGTCCACTGTGCCTGGTGTAAGGCTAGCATTCAACAAACTTTGGCTGAACAAAGAAGAAGCTGAACAAATGACTGATATCTCGGAGGCACCTGGCACATACCCACAGTAAATGGAACAGGCAACAAAATGTTAGCTATTACAACAATTACCTTCAGATAGGCCCAGTGTCCTGCCTGAAGGCACACAACAGAGCTGAGACTTGAAATCCGTTCTCCGGACTGCCAGCCTCATTTTTAATCTGTGATGTCCATCTGCCTTAAAGTTTTCATATGGTGGGAGGGAACCAGGAAAAAGTGGCAGGCTGTGTTTGCCCACTAGAATGAGCTGGAAACCCAGTGGGTTCTTGCACACTTCCAGCCTCCACTCTGCAATCCATGCATGCACACACATTTGCAGACAATAGTGACTCTGGGCAAGGAGCATTGTGGTCTTTCTCTTGAGAATGCTTTGGATCATAAACTGCTTGAGAGCAGTAACCGTAGTTTTGGCTTCCAACACAAGATAGACCCATGAGAACTCTATTATTTGTTCATGACAGATTTGAGGTTGCAACATTGTATTGATCCCCACACCATAGGTCCAAATACCTGTGATGATCCCCGGATTTCCCCACTGGCCTTCCTGCTGGGATGGGGGGAAGCTGGTGACTAGGGGGGTACAAGGAAGAGGTGAAATTCACATTATTGGCTGCATATGCACACATTACAAGAGGGAGTTCAGAATAAGACTAGGGGTGGGTGTTTCTGAAAATAACTCTGGATGATCCCCTGTCTTTCTGTCTACACTAGCATGGAAAGCCAGTGCTTTTCAAATTTTCATTTTAATAGCTTTCTTTTAGTTAGACGTTTCTGCACTCCAGATGTTATGCCAAGTACTTTATAGACAGAATATCATTTCATTCTCCTGACTCTGACGGTTGAAATCATCACTGTCAGTATTTTGCAAAGGAGAAAACTACGGCTGAGAGTAGTTTGCTAAAGACTACAGTCACCAGGATGAGCCAAGACCAGCACTGGAAGTGGGCCTGATGGCTCTGAGACCTTAATTCATTTGCCAAATATTTACTGAACAGTACTATGGGCCATGTTGTTTTCTAGATGCAAAGTATATATTATAGATGAAGGCCAAAGTCCTTGTGGGACTTGAGTTCTGTCTGGAGGAGACAAACCATAAATAATGAACCTAAACATGCAATAAATTATGTGGTCTGTTAGAAAGTGATGGTGCTATGGGAAAACTAGGGCAGTGCAAAATGATGGGAAGGGGATTGGAGGTATGTGTGGAGTGTGGGGGAGAGTGTCTGTGATATAAGTTTGTTACTTTAAATAGAGTGATCAAGACAAGCCTCAGTGACAAAGCCACATTTGAGGAAATAAGGAAAACTTTTAAAAGTTCTAAACTATGCTATGTTCATTCTGCCCCCTCCCCCAAATAAGGGGATGGATGGATGAGCAAAGCACTAGTGATTCACACTGCAATGTCTCAGATGTGGTGCTAAGTGTTTATCTACAGTGTGTCATCAAATCCTCGCGATGACCCTGTGATCATGATATCAACTCTGTTCTTCAGCTGTGAAAATACTCAGAAAGGATACAAAATGTTGTCCAAAATTATTTAGTGCCTAAGTGATGGGACTGGGATTTCCACTTAGCTCCTCCAACTCCAAAACCCATGCTCTTTTGACGACCACAATGCTGATGAAGAGTGGGCAGTGGCGGGGTGGGGAGTGCGGTGAGCAGGAGGCACAGCACTGAGCCCATCCCTCACTTGAGAAAGTCACCCTGCATCATTGCCCACAAGGACCGGGCTGCTCTGAGGCTGGGTGCTCCCCTGGTGGTGTAGATAGTATGGTTGGCTGTGGAGTGCTCTCCCAAGTCATATCTCTAACATAGGTCCTCTTTTTTTTTTCCCCGCTATGTGGTTTGAAATCTATTTCTTTAGCCATTGGAACAGACAGATGTAAAGAAGCAGTTCCTGAAGAGCTATCCCATCAGCAAATATCAGAAAACTCGGTTTCTCAAAACTTCCCAGGAGGGCTGCTCTTCCACAGAGGACCAGTGGCACCCCAGGTACAGCAGGCCAGAGGCTCAGCATCTTTCTAGGGTGCTTTCACAAACTTGATGGGCTCTTGTTCTTGACTGAGCAAGTGTGGCTCTCATAAATGATCTCCACTGAGTCTGGCCTCATTTGCTCACACTGCAGTTCCTCTTTCCCATGGAGATGAGTAGCACAATAGTCTAAGGGGACTTACTTGCGGAATGCAGGTCTACCCAGCCTACAATGTACTTTGTCTCCCTCCAGGATCATGAGGCTGGTGACAGATTTATGCCAAACGATATCCATTTGGAAGCATACAAGCAAAAGAGGCGGGCACTTGAGTGACTTTGATCACCCAACAACCAGCCTACAGAGACAAGGAGGAATGTGTGTGAAATGATTGACGTGTGCGTGCTTTGAAAGCTAGGAGCACCATGAGATATACTCTGTAGATCATGAGGAAGAGAAGAAGGATGCTAGAGTTCTTTCTGGGAAGCCCAGAGTTTCCCAGCCTCTGTCCATCCTTTGGCCCCAAGCCAACCCAAAAGCATAGATTCTGTCCTTGGCACCCACTGTACATGCATATATCGAATGTTTATATATAATAATGACAACTAGTATTTGTTAACACATTTCTATGTTTTGAAAGCATAACTCATGGGCATTTAGGTGTCTTATCGCACTGAAGTGATAAAACAACCCAGTTACTGGGATGTGATGATTTAAAGACCTTTTTTTGCAAATGAAGAAAATGAGGCAGCGAAAGTTCAATGACTTCTCAAGGTCAGAGCTGGTGAATGATGGGAGTATAACTCAAGCCCCCGGGCCTTGAGTCACATTCTCATGTTTCTCCTCCCTGACTAGGAAAGAGTGTTTGGTACCACATTCATTCATGACAAGAACAGTAGGATCACACTGTACCTGTCTCTCTCTCCTTCCTGTGTCTCTGCTTACACAGGGTCTCTAGTTTCTCTTCTCCTCTCCCTTCCCCTTCCATTCCCTTCCCTGCCCTGCCCTGCTCTGCCCTGCTCTTTCCTTCCTGTCTCTCTCTCCCTGCCCCCCTTCCTCCCTCCCTCTTTCTCTCTCTTTCCCTCTTAACTTGGACTTAAATGTGGTAAATGTGCAGAAAAGCTTCATTACAAGGTGGTCTCACCTACAACATGATCCTGGGGCAGAAAGCCCAAGAGGGGCACTGCAATGAAACTTAGTAAGTTACTTTGGAGCCCGAGCTGTCTGCATGCACTGTTGCCTCACAGGAGGTGAAATTCTCATGAGAGATGTAGCATCTCCTAACACCTAACACCTAACAGTGTGGGCTCACATGGAGGGTGAGAAGATCCAGGTCACTCAGAGTCAAGGCCAAACCCCTAGTCCCTCAGGGCCCTTCCTAGTGAATCCTTCATATTCATCACACTTTGATGCAGTTGCCTGCCCAACATCTGTCTCCCCACTTGACTGAGGTATGTAGGGCATAAGGACTATAAGAACCGTGTCTGCTTTGTTAGCACTGTCCCCTTGGTTCATAGCACAGTGTCAGGCCTTGAGTAAGCTCTCACAAATATGTGGGGATATTTAATTAAATTTGTGGGGATTAATTAAATATGTGGGGATAAATAAATGAACGAATAATGAAGGACCGGTGGAATAACAATAGCTTAATATGTCATTCTCTTCAGGAGCACTTGCATTTTGAACGAAGATTCTAATCAAGGATGCCTCTCAAGCACGTGAGAATTCTCACATGGAAGGAATTCCACCTGGAAGGCCCATTCTGGAGTGAGGGTGATAAGGAGTGCATCTTTCCAGCATTTCTCAAATGGTACCCAGCAGTTACCTTGATATTAAATCAGTCTCACCACCAAACCTAAGAGTGGGTGGACCTCAACGAACAGGGATTTTGAAGCTGAGAAAAAATTTTTTAAAAAGGCAGCTGGATTTGACTTCATTCCACCCAGATGTCCTTTCTGTGAGCCTCTGATTATTCTATCCTGAATGTGAAGCAAACCTGTAGAGGTCTTGAGTCACAGCCTAGAAGGCCAAATTCTTATGGGACAATAAAAATCTGAACCAAATGCTGGCCCTGCTGGGTCCGTCTGTTATTGGAATTAAGTGCCCCTTTTCATTTTATTCAAACTGAAGAAACTTTCTGGCAGGGTGTCAGGTTTCAAACAGAAATGTCAGCCAAGGGCTCATGAGGCCAAGATCCTAGCAAACTTGAATCAATTTACGCTTTGGGTAAAACTTCATATGGAATTTAGTGGTCTGGTGGGTCCATTTGTTAAATGTTCTTCATTTGCATGTCCTGGACTAAACCCCTGCATGGAGCTGTGTATAAAATTAGCCTCAGAGACCAAAGTAATCTCTTCTACCCAAAGTGAGGATACCTCTGTAGATGAATGTGAAGGGCATACTAGAGTGATTTTCATCACCAAGAGCAGAAAAGAATGTGAACATGTTCCAAGCTTGATTCAAATGTTGATCTGATACAGTCAAAATTAACCCTATTTATAATAATAACAACAATAACATTTATTGAATGTTTAATATATGCCAGGTTCTATGCTATGCACCTAACATTTATTGACCCATTAATCCTTCTGATGATTCTACCAAGTAGGTTTTATTATTTGCTCTATAGCATAGAAAATGAAACAAAGAAAGAGAGGTTCAGAAAAGTGCCCAGCTTTCAAGACAGCAAAGGTCAGGATTGAAAGCTGGACCGTTTGCCTTCAGAACTTTTGCCCTTCATGTTGATCAGGGACTGGTGGGGTAATGAATCCAACAGGCATTAATATAAGTAAGATGCTTATGGCAGATTTAATTGGAATTTTATACCCCATCTGTCATTTTTTAGAACCCTATTTTGGTGGCAAACGCAGATGAACCACACAGTAGAACTTGGTTTTCTCTTCAGTTGTTGGTATAAAATGAAAGCACTGGGATCATTAACTGAAAAATCCCATCTTCAAATGCTTTTGCTTTGTACCGACACACTGAAACGGGTCAAGATGCTCCATGTTCTCTGGGACATTGAAGAAATGTTTAAGTCACTTTTTTGCACTCTTAGCATGGGATGGAGATACAACCAGGGACTGTCTAGGACTCCAGTGGCTCTGAAGATCAGAATGAAGCACAACATGGCCAAAAGGAGATGCTGTGATGGGAGACTGGCAGGCCTCACCCATCCACTAAATGATTCACAACTATACACTTGCTCTTTGCATCAAGCTTGAATCAAACCAAACCTAATCAGCAAATATATGAAAAGATGCCCAACGCCAGCAATATGGATGGAAATGTAAATTAAATTATATTTTTCACACATCATTTTGGCAAAAATTTACAAGTTTGATAGTATCAATCATAGCAATGGTGAGCGGAAACAGGTCTGTTCTGCTGATGAAAGTGTGAATTGGAACAGCCATCCTGTAAAGCATTTTGGAAGTATTAAAAATGTACACCACCTGTGAGCTAGCAATTCTGTTTTATACATATTTATAAGAATATTCATTGCATCATCATTCATGCTATCAAAAAGTTAAAAATAGCTGAAATGTAATATATCCAAACCATGGAAGGTTATAGAGCTCATAAAACGATACATATTTACGTACTAACAATAAAAAATGCTTAAGACATACTGTTAATTTGAAATATCCACACAGCATGGTATTATCCAATGATATTACTACACCCCTCCCCCCCCACTGAAAGGAATGGAAAAACACACACCAAAGGGCACCTAGGTGGCTCAGTCTGTAGAACACCCTACTCTTGGTTTCGGCTCAGGTCATGATCTCAGTATTGTGAGATGAGCCCTGAGTGTGCTGGGGTCTGTGCTCTGAGAGGGTCTGCTCAAGACACCTGTCCCTCTGCCCCTCCCCCACACACATGCGCCCGAGTGCGCTCTCTAAAATAAATAAATAAATCTTTAAAAATAAAGAAAAATACACACCACGCTCAGATTAGATTAGCCCTGGGGAAGCTCTAGGAGTCAAGAGCAGTGGTCACAGGTTTTGTCTTTCATTCATTCATTCACCAAATTATTATCTAGCATCTTCTGTGTTAGGCACCGACGATATTTTGTGATCAAGAAAACACAAAAATCCTTGCAACCATTATACCTACGTTGCAGCACTACTGTTTTGTTAGGCATGTTTTTATTTTATTTTTTTATTTTTATTTATTTTTTTTTTAAAGAAGCTACCTCAACTTTTTTTTTTTTTTTTTGAAGATTTTATTTATTTATTAGTCAGAGAGAGAGAGGGAGAGAGAGCAAGCACAGGCAGACAGAATGGCAGGCAGAGGCAGAGGGAGAAGCAGGCTCCCTGATGAGCAAGGAGCCCGATGTGGGACTCGATCCCAGGACGCTGGGATCATGACCTGAGCTGAAGGCAGCTGCTTAACCAACTGAGCCACCCAGGCGTCCCTAGGCATGTTTTTAGAACAAGAACGTACTTACATATGACTTGTGTAATTAAAAATAAGTAAAAATAAAAGCAAATTTAAATGCACACTTTTTTATTAACAAAATTTCAAGTGACCACTTTGGCCTTTGAGAGCCTTTCAAACAGTTCCAACCATAATTGTGTATTGGTGACTGCCATGTGGCTAATGTAATTCCTCGAATGGCCCCCTTGGATGGTTGGCACAGACAGGGTATAGTGATAATCACACATAGCACAAGGACCACACAAAGGTCCAATCTTTCTATGAGCATTTTTGGGACATCATTAGGCACAAAGTAGGAGTAAACCCCAATCTGATTACACCTATAGTCACCAAAAGACATAGTCTTAGCACCACTCTTCATAATAGCCCCAATCTGGAAACCACCTAAATGTCTGTCAACAGTTGAAAAGATAAATAGTGTGCTATATTTACAGAAAAATATTATACAGAAATGAAAATCCATGCATTATAACTACATGCAACAACATGGAAGAATCCCCCTGACATGGCGTTGAATGAAGGAATCCTTTTGTGAGAGTAACACGCAACCTAATTCCATTTGTATGATCTTCAATAACAGGCAAAACGGCACGTGACACCAGAAAGCCAGAAAGCAGGACAGTGGTTATCTTTGGAGGGGAGCAGCAGCTAGGGTGCATTACAGAGGCTCCAGGGTGTAACGGAGATGTTCGGCTTCTTGCCCAGGTTATATGGGTACATTTCATTTATGAAAATTTGTTGATTTTTACAGTTATAATTTGTGACTTCCTTAATAAGCATATTCTACTTCCATCAATCATTTACCAAAAGAAAAAAATTAAAACCTAGAACCCTGAAATCCAATCTGTTTCATGAATCTCATCTGGGGCAGGTCAGTTTTAGCATCTATAAAATGGGAGAAGGATTTGCTAGCTGATCTGTAAAGGCCTTTCCAAATGAATAGTTCTGTGTAAAACCTCTTCCATTCCAATAATCAACTTCTAAAGCAACAGGAAGATAAAAACAGGGGTCATTTACTATTTGAATTTGTAGAAGGCTTATAAAATCACGTGTATCCCATTTTCAAAGCATTTAAAGATGCAATTAATAAACAAGAGAAATTCTGTCTCCCAGGAAAATGCATGGAGCTAATTCTTTCCCAAAGATAAATGTGAATATGCTAAATGCTGCTTCTGCCAAGCCTCTTCCTATCATGCCAATTCACAAGCCCTGTGATGGGAGAGTCAGCAATTACAGAGGTGGGGCTGTTCCTGATAGGAAGGAGGCAGCTACCGTGCTCACAACCTACAGCTGTTTGAATAGGCACTTCCTCTACAAGGGGAGTTGGTTTGTAATTTTCCTCTTACTGCTACTGGAAGTCCTTGAATGGCAACATCACAGCTTGTACCCATTCACAACAGGAAAGTTTGACATCCGTAGACACTCTTGGCACAAGAGGAGGAAAAGTCCAGTCCTGTGTGTCAGTTTCTATATTAGAACCAGGAAAGTAATTTCTATAGCGTAGACCATGCTGTAATCTTCACGCAAAATGTTGGGCTCCAAGCAGGGAAGCTTTTCCTATTTGTATCCAAGCCTCACTGACAATTGCAAGGCAGGACCTCAAGGAGGGACTTGAAGGATCCCAGTAGACACCAACTAACTGTGCTGGTTCTAAACCCAAGGAAAGGTGCTTTGAAAGTGGGATACGACTTCTAGCGAATGCACTCATTGTAGGGCATGGGTACTGTTCTGTCTAGGAGAGCTGAGCCTCATGTGAAGGATGGGTACTCAGAGGAACACTGAATTTAACAGCTGAAAATAGGTAAGCACAAAATCTGAGAGGGGGCTCAGGGCATCTAGATCAGCTCTCCTCAAATGATCACAGGTGAAGAGCCAGTTTTGTCGTTTGATTTCACTTCGTTTGGTTAATTATTTCTAAGCATTCACTGGTCAATATATTTTTAAAAAATACAATAAAAATGAATGTTTGAAAATGGAATAAGGAGACAGGCAACATAGAAGCCCTGATTTCTGATGACTAGTTTCAACAGAAATTATTCTGTTCAATGGCTAGAAAGGTTCATAAATGCTTTCTTGTTGATCTGGGTGCTAGTCAAATAAATGTATTTAGTTCATGAAAATGTGTTGAGCTGTATGCAGCCTATCCACATATTTACTGCTAACACGTGGTGGTCTGCGGATTTCTGGACCATGGCTCACTGGGTGCTTTCTCATTCTCCCAAGAGTATTTTTCTTTGAGAACAGAGAATTAACACAACGGCCAGACTAGGGGAAAGGACCTGGGGACAGGATATTGTGATAACAAAGGCAACTCAAGAGGATGGAAGAATGGGTAAGAAAGTAAATTTCTCTCAGAAAACAAGATTTTGATGATGAAGCAATTTTTGGTGTTGATGGTAGAAACCTGCTGTTTTCCTAAGAGAGGACCCAAGAGCATCAGTAAACAATCAGATGAATTCTGTCTAGAAGGACGCACTGAGATCTCTGCTCATTGTGTGTGACTAATCCAGATACTAATCAACAAGTATGCACCACGTGGCATACTAAAGTTCTCATTCAGGTCAACGAGAGGACACTGGGCAGGTAAAGCGTCACTACTTTCCATTCATTTCCTACTCACAAACTGCAGATGGAAAACCGATTTTTACAGCATCAATTTTCCTGTTTCACCCAAATACCAAATATAGGAGCTCATGTTGATATAATCACAGGTAATGATTCTTGAAAGCAAATTTAGAATGAGGGACAATTACAACAAAACATTGGGGGAATAAATTGTAAAACTATTTAAAGTCACAGTAAT